ATTGTTCCACCCCAAGACTGTCTTGGCTGAGGGTTTTCTTGATCCATTTCATTTTGGGGGCTTGCCTGTAGAGCAAGAACGCTCAGGGTTTTCGTCAACTCTCCTGTCATCCTTACAATGTGTCTGTAGAGTCAATCCCTTGACTTTCCCCCAGCCACTGTTCTTATTTTTAGACACCCATCACATTAGAACAGCCTCTAAACACTTTGTCTGCACCTCCTTTCCTGAGATCACTGAAGTCACTTTCTTAATGTTACTTTATTTTCTGTGTCTATCTTATGAATATAAAAATGTTTATTTCTATAGGAGCTAACATGCTGGTATTGAAAGGAAAACCTCTTGAAGACAGGAATAGGGAGGGAGCTTACTGCTGTAAACTAGAGGGAGATTAGTTTTAAAAAAGTGGAGAGAGTACAATTTCAAGGAAAAGTGAGAGAGAAGACTGTAAAATTCCTCAAAAAGGAAGAGGGACATTGTCTCTGCAGAGGTGTGAATGTGCAGCACAAGTACAGACACAACATAGGGCCCCAGAAGCCAAGAGCTATTAAGCTATTAAACTATTACCACATTGCAACCATGTGCTAGTTGCTGTTTTTGTGTTTTGCCACGGAAGACTTAGCCTCATTTCAAAGAAGAAACACCTGAGTTTCAGAGGAGGTCATTAATATTCTCAGATGCATAGTACCCAAAATTGACAAAGTCAAGATCTGAACTCAAATCCTTCTTCCTCCAGAGCACCAGCTTTGTAGAGAGAGGTGAGACCAGATTGCATCAGCTCCAGCCACTGGCAATAGAGCTGCAGAGAGAGGCTGGCATGAGTCTGGCCTGGAGCCCTGTAGGGGAGAATGTACCCACCAATTTAGAGAAAAGAAAGGGGCACGTTTCTCCCTATCCTCCAAACAATGATGGCCAGCAACTGGCTGAGAGAGGGCAGGTACCATTCTGGACATAGGTAACTGCTGCACCAGCTTATGTCCACACACTCAGCAACCAGCCAAGAGGAGACACCTGAGTTTAGTTGGGAAGACTGGTAGGGGACTGGGCACTCATGTAGGACTATGAGACACCTCCAGCCTCCCAACACAGCACAGACTTTGGAGCTCAAACTGCCTAGATGCAGCACCCACAGGCAGATGGCTCTGGGAGTATCAATGCCTCTCTGTGTACTGGACAGACTGGTAGGGCAGAGTGGATCCTCAGTACCCTGTGAAGCTGGGAGCCTTGTGTACTGGGACTGTGGAAACACAGCGGCTGTGTGGGATAGCTCAGGGTGTGGCTGGGTCTCTGGGCAGTTGCTCTGGGTGGCTCCACATGCTCAGGGCTCCCTCTTTGCCTGCGATGGGTTATCATGGCAGGATCCATGCTCACACTGAGGACTGCATGGATCCTTGGTGTGATTCTTGTGTAAGTGTGGATGCGTATTGCATCCACTGTGGGCTAGTGCCCAGGCATTGATCACTCTGGAAGAGAAGAGATAAGGATGTAACCATGCCAGCAGAGCTGACCAAACCCTCCCCTCTGGTAAAAAACAGATCATAACTCAACTTGGGTGTCATCTTGGATACTTGCTGCACCGTGAAGCTCTGACCAGAGCTCCCTGTCCACACCCTACACACGCCTCTGGGTACTCACTGAAAGAACAGACACTTCATTAAGTCACAGAGGCATAGCCAAAAAGGAAAAGCATCAGAGAAAAAAAAAATCTCCACAAATGCCTAAAAATAAATACAGAAATTTAAGAAAAAATAATAAGGAAGACAACATGACACCCCTAAAGGTACACAATAACACTTCAGTATTACAATGTGAAGATGAAGAGATTGGTGAAATGCCAGAAATGGAATTAATTGTGGGAATTAATTACTCAGAATAAAATACGTGAATTAAGAAATTTATATGACATGAATGAACATTTTTCCCATGAAATTGAGATTTTAAAGAGATATAAAAATGAAATATTAGAAATGAAGAATTTAATAGATCAAATACAAATTCTGGCAGAAAGCCTTAACAACAGACTTGGTGAGGCAGAAGAAAGAATATCTGAGCTAGAAGACAAATCTTTGGAAATTTTAGTCAAACCAGAATAAGAAGGAGAAGGAAAGAAGAAATTAGAATTTTTTTTAAAAGTAAGAGATTTATGGAATACTATCAAACGACCCAACATAGGGGTCTTAGGAGTTCCATAAGGCATGAAAAGAGGGAATGGATTAGAAGTCTTATTTAGTGAAATAATCACAGAAAACTTCCCAATTTTGGAGAAAGAACGGGATGTCCATGTACAGGAAGAACACAGAACTCCTAACAGATGTGACCAGAAAACATCTTCACTATGATATGTTGTAGCCAAACTCTCCACAGGAAAACATAAACAAAATATTCTAAAATGTGTAGTAGAAAAACACCAGGTTACTTTTAGAAGATTTCCAATTGGACTCACAGCTGATTTCTCAAAAGAAACACTACAGACTAGGAGAGAATGGCAACACATAGTCCAAGTCTTTTTTTTTTTTTTTTTTTTTTTTTTTTGACAGGCAGAGTGGACAGTGAGAGAGAGACAGAGAGAAAAGTCTTCCTTTTGCTGTTGGTTCACCCTCCAATGGCTGCCGCGGCTGGTGCATTGCGCTGATCCGAAGGCAGGAGCCAGGTGCTTCTCCTGGTCTCCCATGCGGGTGCAGGGCCCAAGCACCTGGGTCATCCTCCACTGTACTCCCGGGCCATAGCAGAGAGCTGGCCTGGAAGAGGGGCAACCGGGACAGAATCCGGCGCCCCAACTGGGACTAGAACCTGGTGTGCTGGCGCCGCTAGGGGGAGGATTAGACTATTGAGCCACGGCGCCGGCCAGTCCAAGTCTTAAGAGAGAGAGAAAGAGAAAAAAAAAACAACTGTCAACCCAGAATATTGTAACCTGCAAAGCTCTCATTTATGAATGAAGGTGGAATAAAGACGTTCCATAACAAACAAAAACTGAAAGAATTTCTCAACACTCATGCAGCCTTACAAAAGATGCTTAAAGATGTGCTGCACACAGAAACAGAGACAGTTATCTTTATGAAAAAATGTGATGGCAGAAAATCTCCCAGTAAAGGTGCAAGGAAATTGCAAAGACACCAAATAAATGAGTTATCAATGCATCTCAAGGACTTAGAAAAAACAACAAACCAAACCCAAAATTAGTAGGAGAAAAGAAATAATTAAAATTAAAGAAGAAATAAACAAAATTGAAATAAAAAATACAAAAGATCAATGAAACAAAGAGCTGTTTTTTTGAAAACAAACAAACAAACAAAATTGATACACCATTGGCCCAACTAACTAAAAAAATGGAAAAGATTCTAATCAATTAAATCAGAAATGAAAAAGGAAATGTAACAACAGATAACCACAGAAATGAAAAGAATCATCAGGAATTACTACAAACAGTTGTGTGTCAACAAATTGGGAAACTTATAAGAAATGGGTAGATTCCTGGACACAAACAACCAACTAAATTTGAGCAATGAAGACATAGGAAATCTAAACAGACCAATAACCAAGAAAGAGATTTAATCAGTAATAAAGACCCTCCCAATAAAGAAAAGCCCAAGACCAGATGGTTTCACAGCTGAATTCTACCAGACATTTAAGGAAAAATTAATTCTTCTTAATCTATTAAAAACAGTTGAAAGGGAAGGAATTCTCCCAAATTCCTTCTATGAAGCCAGCATCACCTTAATTCCTAAACCTGAAAAAGATACAACAGAGAAAGAAAACTATAGACCAATATCTCTAGTGAACATAGATGCACAAATTGTCAACAACATACTAGCCTCTCAACTCTGACAACACATCAGAAAGATCATTTACCTGGACAAACTGGGATTTATCCCCAGTATGCAGGGATGGTTCAACATTCACATATCAACTAACAAACTGAAGAACAAAAACCATATGATTACCTCAATAGATGCAGAGAAAGCACTTGAAAAAATACAACATATTTCATGATGAAAACCTTAAGAAAATTGTGTATAGAAGGAATATTACTCAACACAATCAAGGAAATTTATGACAAATCCACAGGAAGCATCTTATTGAATTAGGAAAGGTTGGAAACAATCCCACTAAGATCTGGAACCAGACAAGGATGCCCACTCTCACCATTACTATTCAATATAATCCTGGAGGTTTTAGCCAGAGCCATTAGGAAAGAAAAAGAAATCAAAAGTATACAAACAGGGATGGAGGGAGTCAAACTATCCCTATTTGCAGATGAAATGATTCTAAATACAGGGATTGAAAAGACTAATAAGAATCTACTCAAAAAAAGTTTGGTAAAGTGGAAGGATATAAAATTAGCACAGAAAAATCAATAACCTTTTTGTGCACAGAAAATCGCTTGACTGAAAAAGAACTTCTAAGATCAATCTCATTCACAATAGCTACAAGAAATTAAATACCTTAGCACCATGTTTCTAAAGTTGTAATTATGAAATGTATGAAGTTTGTATTTCTTAAATAAAAGATTTCTGGGGAAAATAAAATAAAATAAAAAATTTGAAAATTTGAAAAATGCAGCAAGAGAAATAAGTATTCCAGAAAACAAAGGCAGCTACCCCACTTCTTTTAGCACAACAACGAGCCTTTGGAACTACATCCAGGGGTCCTTGCTCATCTTGTCACCTTCTTGAGCAAGAGGGCACACACAGTCTTCAGGCCGTGCTAATTAGACTCAGGTTTCTTTACACAGAGGGAAAAGGATAACAACTCTCGCTTGAAGGGGCCAATGATGGATTTGCAAGGGCCTCCACACAGAACAGTGAGCCCTGAGGTTTCCAGATCTGTTCTCTTGAATGGACGTGCTGGACCCTATCCCCTGGACTTCCTGCCGTCTCTGCTCCTCTCAGAGCAAAGCTGTGGACTGAGAGCCACAGCAGGCCTCAGCAGCATGTTGCAGTTTTGCTGTCAAGACAACCAGCTCCTGATTCAACTCACTTACTTTCCTAAGAGACAAACCCGATCTATACCTGGCCAGTCATTAAACAGATTTAGACAGGCCCTGAATCTCACTCATGAGAGTTGAAGGAGTCTTACCCAGAAGTGCCTGTTCACAGTATAGTTTGCCAGGCAGTAAGCTGCTGCAGCTATCAGTGAAGGAAGATATTTCAAGAATGGGTCAGCTTCAAGTAGACTCAGTTCTGCCACATACTAAGAACAAGGGAGAAAATCTCATTGGAATTAGGAATTGGACTAAGGGCAAATTTGACTAAGGTCACAGATAAGCCTAAAAACTTCAAGGGAATAATAAATTGTGTCTCATCTTTGTCAGCCAGCATCTAATGATGAGCACAGAAACAGATACACAAAATTATTCACTGGATTAATTGTCATGGCATCCCTAAGCACAACAACATTTACATTGTAATATACACAAGCATATGATCACCCACATAGTCTATGGCATAGGTTACTTATGCTAACAGTGTAGGTTTATGCTGGTCAGATAAAGTAGCATTGGTCTGGCAGCTGAAGTGGAAACCCTCAGCTACATGGAAAACAACATGTCTATATTAAAGCCATTATCTTACCAGTCAAATGAATGCAGTCCAGAGACTAAAATGATACCAATAGAGACCTATCAGATTAGGAGAAGCATATTGGGAAATTTATATAGACATCTTTATTACTCTTCACACAGGATATAAATACTCCATATCTTAGATCATAGTGACTGAAACCCAAGTTGCCCAGAGCAATGCTTAATGCCTTCAAACTTAAATCCAAATGACCAAATAATGCTTTAATACTTAATATGTTAGAATGAGATTAGAACCAAGTTAATTAATTTTTCTGCCATTCTGTAAATCTAAGAGGTATTGCTTAGCTTCCAAGCTTAAATTTCTTTAATAGTGATTAGGCAACCTGCACCTGCCAAGTGTATCAACAGTAATGTCTTGTAACCAGAAATTGTGTTCTTAAAACACCCTCTCTTCTTTTGCTAAACAGTTTTTCCAGACACACAACAAAATGAGGAGAGGGAAGGGAAGGGAAGAGAAGGGGAGAGGAGGGGAGGGGAGGGAGGGGAGAGGAGAGAAGAGGAGAGGGGGGAGGGGGGCGGGGAGAGGAGGGAGAGGGAGAGGAAGAGGAGAGAGGAGAGGCAGAGAGGGGGAGAGAGAGAGGAAGGAAGGAAGGAAGGAAGGAAGGAAGGAGGAAGGAAGGAAGGAAAGGAAAGAAAAATAAAAAAGGAAGAAATTGAGGAAAACTGAAAGATGATTGGGCTTGGCTGCTCTTCAGCCTTCTCGGCATGGGAAATTGCTGGCAGTCCTGCGGGATACCTTGGCCAGGTTCTCAGTTCTGATGCACACTCCCTGACGCCTCATGTATTGCAGGAGAAACTGGTTGGTGGTTGGCACTGTCAGATCGAAAGCCAGGACTTTCAGGAGTAGGTGTTCCATTCTTAGCAGTTGTCGTTTTGTGTACGTGTCATCGGTAATATAGACAAACTCGTCTACTTTGGGCGGATATATCTCTTTGTATTTCCTGGGAAAGGAAAAGAGCTTTTAGAAATGAAGCTTGGAACTTTGGGTCTTCTTCCTGGGCTACCAGCATGGGCCTTGCAGACTTTCTTCTGAAGGCATATTCTACTATAAATGGTACTGGGGAAAATGTTAGGAGCTAGTATCTAGTCCACGAACAAGAGCATTACAAAGACTTCCATATCTACTTCTAGCAGCAGTAAGAGAACTCAGTTCCAGCAGAGACGTTTCCGTTTTGGCCTCTGATTCACTGAAAGATTCTGAATGGCAGACACTCGGGTAAAATCTGTGTTCATTCTGCAGACCACAAATCATTTTGTGGAGGAGAAAGCTATGAGAAATACGATATAAACATTTCCATAGGCCTTTTATTTTTACAAAGATCACATTGAACTTCCTCTATTGAATTAGCCAGCGATGCTGTGAAGCCAAGAGAAAGGTAATGAGATACAACAGGGCTTCAAAAAGCTCATGGGAAATACACATCATCTATTAATTCCATTTTCCATTAGCTTTCTAAAGATTCCTCACTCTTTCCCTGTCAGCAACTCTTTCCTTCTGCTTCTGTTTCCAGTTTCTGTAGGAAACTTTTGGAAGTTTTTACTTATCATTAACCACAACGTTAGCAACCAGAAGCCCAGAAAGGGGAATCGACAACAGGTCAGTTCAAGGCAGCTCAGCCACAACCCAGCTCTCCTCTCCCACACAACCGTATGCACCGCCGATGGGAGCAGGAACCAGATGGAACAGTTCATTCACTGTAACCAAACGAACGGTTATGATGGGTCCTTTACCAGATCATGAAGACAGCTCGTATGTAACCAAATCTGTTCTAGAATACAGTCAAAGTGGTTGACTTAGAATTCAAGCTGACGGCTGCCTCAGTCATGATATTCAACTTGTGGTATGAATCTCAGACAGCTGAATAGAGCAGTGAACATGTACATAGATTCAGTTTCTCAGGAAAGCCTGTAAAGATGATGATCTCTTATCAAAGGCAGCATGAATAGGTTTAATTATCATGCACTGCTCTTGTTTAATAAATGTGTGGAGAAAAATCCAGTGTTTTGACAGGTGGTACTTTCACATTATTCACGTTAAACAGAACACTCACGAGGCCAGGAGAATAGCTGCTGTTCCCACGAGCTGTAATTTCCCCCTGAGGACAGACATGCAGGACAGAAACCTGTCCAGGAAGTTGACAGCCAGATACAGGGTCTCTGCTCGAAGTTTATACTCCTCGCCAACCTCCACAAGCCAGTCCACCAGAATCGTACGCATGGCTTCTGTGATGTCTGGCTGCTTCCTCATGTAGTGTGCTTTGGGCCTGTGTCTTATCTGTTGGGGGAACAGTATTGATATATAATTAGTTGAAAAACAGAAAGATTGCTCCCCAACACAGTTGCTATTTTAAAATAAAATCTCATGAGCGATGGTTAGGCAGATACTAATACAGAGCCAAGTAAATCTTTATCATGACAAGGAACAAAGTATGGAATTATGGTTCTTTAATGTAATGGATTACCAAGTAACTTAATTGAGGTGGAAGGCAGATATAGGCAGAAATCTAGGTTATTCCTAAGAGTGATGTATTTAACATATGAACATTTTGAGTCACATAGAAACGCATGCCTTCTGTGATGTCTGGCTGCTTCCTCATGTAGTGCGCTTTGGCCTGTGTCTTATCTGTTTGTGGGAACAGTATTGATATACAATTAGTTGAAAAACAGAAAGATTGCTCCCCAGCACAGCAACTGAAATCTTATCATAATATGCAAAATCCTTAAAAAAGTAGAGAATAGTGTGACTATCTTGTGATTTCTCAAATTTTTTAAAAAGATTTATTTTATTTTTTTGAAAGTCAGAGTTACAGAGAAAGGTAGACAGAGAGAGAGTCTTCCATCTGCTGGTTCACTCCCCAGATGGCTGCAAGGCCGGGAGCTGAGCTGATCTGAAGCCAGGAGCCAGGAGCTTCTCCTGGGTCTTCCACATGGGTGCAGGGGCCCAAGGACTTGGGTCTTCTTCTCTTCCTTTTCCAGGCCACAGCAGAGAACTGGGTCAGAAGTGGAGCAGCCAGGACTAGAACCGGCCCCCACATGGGATGCTGGCGCATCAGTCCAGAGCTTTAACCTGCTGTGTCACAGCGTCGGCCCTGATTTCTCAAATATTTTTAAAAAATATATCTTGTGCTGATTATAGCTCATGGTAAATGGTCTTACTGATTAGGCTATTTTTTAAAGGAAACAATATAAAATATGTTTTGATGTAGAAACATTCCTCCCATTTCTCCACCTTTAGCTTTGCAATCACTCAGCAACCTATGAAGGATTTTTTCCTTCTGGTTTAAGATGGTTTTACTTTGACTTCCCATTCACACTTATGAACAAAAGAAAGGTGCACAGGACTGGGGCTGGCATTGTGGTATAGCAGCTAAAAATTACAGTGCTGGCATCTCATATGGGCACCCGGCTGCTCCACTTGTGATCCAGCTCCCTGCTAATGTACCTGCGAAAGTAGCAAAACACGGCCCAAGTTCTTGTGCTGCTGCACCCACATGAAAGACCCAGAGGAAGTTCCTGGCTCCCAGCTTTGGCCTGGCCCAGCTCTGGCTGCTGTAGCCATTTGGGGAGTGAATCAGCAGATGGAAGATCTCTCTCATTATCTCTCCCTCTCTTTCTGTAACTCTGCCTTTCAAATAAATAAAATAATTTTTTTAAAGAAAGGTGCTCAACATTTTCCACAGTACATGTTCCTGACTGATGTTTGTGGGCAGCCACAGGTAGTCACTCCCTTTGTTTACACTTAAACATATGAATGGAGACTTCCCGGGCACAGACAATTGGGCTAGGGAGATTCTGGGAAGAGGCAGGAAGAACCTAAATCTTTCACAAGAGATGATACAGATAATCAGTCACACCTGTAACCTGCATTGATCACCTAAGTGTTTTATTGTACCCTTGTAATCAATAATTAAGAACCTTATTGGGAACTCTTTGTAACCTTAAAAGCCTTTTTGATATGTAAATCTTTTGTGCTCCTTCTTATAAACAACTGGTCATGTTTAAATACTACTGGATTTGTTCAATAAAGGAGCCTTGATCAGGACTTGTCTTGGCTCCATTCTTTGCGTCCTTGTCCCCGCATTCCCACTCTCTGTTTCAGGAAAACCCAGTTCATTGTGCCGCAGGCCGGCACAGATGTTGAACTAGAGCCTCCGGGTTGACCTCTGTACGGGTCATAGCAGTCACAAACGGCTGAGGAACCTGCCTTGCTTGGGGAAGGGGCAGACACCAGCCAATCACAGATTACCCGACTGAGTGAAGAAACAGTAAGCCATGACTGCCCTGCTCCTGGGCTCAGTGCAGTGGAAGAAACACAAAAACAGCCAGAAGCATGAACAAAGGAGACAGACTGGTGTCCTGCTCTGTTTTCTGTTGATAACAACACCACCAGAGACTGGGTACATTATAAAGGGAAATGGGTTTGTTTTGGCCTACAGCTCTGGTTTAAGATTGAGGGGCTGTACTGATGCAGGCTTTGCTAGCAGTTTGAGGTGGTGAGAGACAGGCAAAATATGGTGAGACAGGAAGACCATGTATGTATCTCCTCTGATTTCTTCCTCTCTTCTTCAAAAGCCAGTAAGGTTCAATCATAGAGACCCTATTCTGATGAATTTATCTAATCTTAGTCACCTTGCAAAGGCCCCCACCTCAAAACACCATAGTCAGATTATGTGCACATCTTATATCTCAAGATGGTGATTAAATTTCAACTCGAGTTTCAAACGGGACAAATGGTGTTCAAACCATAGCATTGAGAGTTGAAGCCTCGTTTCCTCTTTCATTCACCATGTGAACCTGACTTCTGTTAGTCTGCTCTGTAGAGAAAGGATAAAATTCTCTACTTCACACGTTTACCGGAGGGGTTAATTTAGTGTCGCAAATGAAACACTTAGGAAAGTGCCTAATGCATAGCAAACATCCAGTGAAAGTTACCACTAAAAATTACAAAGCCAAAAAATGCAAATTGAAACCACAATGAGATACCATCTCCCACCTATTGGGCTATTATTCAAACAATGAAAATAGCAAGTGTTAATGAGTGGAGATATTCTGAAGCCCTGTGTGGGCAGTGAAAATGTAAAATGATGCAACCACCATGGAAACCAGTTTGGCAATTGCCTACAAAGTTAAATATACAATTACCATATGATCCAGTAATTTCACTTTTAGGAATAGACACAAAAGGATTGAAAGCAGGGACTTAGATACTTGTACATTAATGTTCACAGCAACGTTATTCACAATAGACAAAATGTGCAAACAACCCAAGTGCAGTGAGTAGATTAAAAAATATGTAGCATTTACAAACAATGGAATATTATTAAGCCATAAAAAGGGATAAAATCCTAACACATGATGCAACAGCCTGAAAATATTTGCTAAATGAAATAAGCAGACATAAAAGGGAAGATATTAAATGGCCCCACTTATACTGGGTACCTATATTATGCAAATTCACAGGCTGAACGTGGAACAGAGCTTATCAGAGGCTGCGGCAAGAGGAGAACTATTTATTGGGTATAGAGTTTCCATTTGAGATGGTGAAAGAGTTCTGGGAATGGATAGTGATAGTGGTTGCACAGCATTGTGAACATACTTAATACCACTTAAAAATAGTTAGAATGGTCTTTTTCCTTCGGCACGCCACCAAAAACCCTGGTGTCGCCATGGGCCGCCGCCCCGGCCGGTGTTACCGGTATTTTAAGAACAAGCCGGCCGGCGCCGCGGCTCACTAGGCTAATCCTCCGCCTAGCGGCGCCGGCACACCGGGTTCTAGTCCCGGTCGGGGCGCCGGATTCTGTCCCGGTTGCCCCTCTTCCAGGCCAGCCCTCTGCTGTGGCCAGGGAGTGCAGTGGAGGATGGCCCAGGTGCTTGGGCCCTGCACCCCATGGGAGACCAGGAAAAGCACCTGGCTCCTGGCTCCTGCCATCGGATCAGCGCGGTGCGCTGGCCGCAGCGCGCCGGCCGCGGCGGCCATTGGAGGGTGAACCAACGGCAAAGGAAGACCTTTCTCTCTGTCTCTTCTCTCTCACTGTCCACTCTGCCTGTCAAAAAAAAAAAAAAAAAAGGTTAAAAAAATAAAACAAATGAACAACATAACAAGCCGTACCCTAAGTCTCGCTTCTGCCGAGGTGTCCCTGATGCCAAGATCCGCATCTTTGATCTGGGCCGGAAGAAGGCAAAAGTGGATGAGTTTCCACTGTGTGGCCACATGGTGTCGGATGAATATGAGCAGCTCTCTTCTGAAGCCCTGGAGGCTGCCCGTATTTGTGCCAACAAATACATGGTAAAAAGCTGTGGCAAAGATGGCTTTCATATCCGAGTGCGGCTCCACCCCTTCCATGTCATCCGAATCAACAAGATGTTGTCCTGTGCTGGTGCTGACAGGCTGCAGACAGGTATGCGGGGTGCTTTTGGAAAGCCCCAAGGCACAGTAGCCAGAGTTCACATTGGCCAAGTCATCATGTCCATCCGCACCAAGCTGCAGAACAAGGAACATGTGGTTGAGGCCCTACGCAGGGCCAAGTTCAAGTTCCCTGGCCGCCAGAAGATCCACATCTCAAAGAAGTGGGGCTTTACCAAGTTTAACGCGGATGAATTTGAAGACATGGTGGCGGAGAAGCGGCTCATCCCGGACGGCTGCGGGGTCAAGTACATCCCCAATCGTGGCCCCCTGGACAAGTGGCGGGCCCTCCACTCATGAGCCTCACTCTCCTGTGCTCTGTAATCATTGATAATAAAGCCTGGTTCCTATAAAAAAAAAAAAATAGTTAGAATGGTGCCATGAAAAATTGATACTTAAGACTTAGGGTATAGTTGGTATATTTACCATATTCTTTGCCTATATCAAATGCTAATCAAAAATTTAAACTCATATTTGAAGAAGACTATTATACGATGTGTACTGGTCAGAGATAACTACCTTCTTTCCCTGATGACTTGTCTCTATGGCAGTGCTGGAGTCTTTTGGGGCCAAACACTCTGCTCTCTGCCCTCACAGACCATTCAGTCTGCAATGAAGCCTCAGAAACAATTAGCTGTTGTGAAACATATCAAACCATTAAATGATTCCTCATTACTAAAGAATAACCAATTGTTATGTGTTCCATGCCCTCAGAGAAAATTTTTTTAATTTTTAATAAATTTTTTTTGCTTTCAAACTTTTATTTAATGAATATAAATTTCCAAAGTACAGCTTATGGATTACAATGGCTTCCCCCCCATAACGTCCCTCCCACCCGTAACCCTGCCCTTTCCCACTCCCTCTCCC